GGGGAAACAGTGGAAACAGTGTCAGATTCCATTTGTTTGGACTTCCTAATCAACGCAGATGGTGACTGCAGCCACGAAATTAAAACACACCTGCCCCTTGGAAGAAAAGCTATGACAAACCTAGATGGTGTATTAAAAAGCAGAGATATCACTCTGCCCACAAAGGTCTGTATAGTCAAAGCTATGGTTTTTCCAGTAGTCATGTACGGATGTGAGAGTTGGACTATAAAGAAAGCTGAGTGCCGAAGAATTGATGCTTCTGAACTACGGTGTTGGAGAGTGCTTTGGATAGCAAGATCACCAGTTAATCCTAAAGGAAATCAACCATGAATAGTCATTGGAAGGACTGGTGCTGAAGCTGAAGCTCCAATACTTTGGCCACCTAATCTGAAGAGACCGCTCATTGGAAAAGATCGAGGGCAAAAGGAAAAGGGGGCGACGGAGGATGAGATGGTAGGATGGCATCACTGACTCAGAGGACATGAGTTTGCGCAAGCTCCAGGAGACGATGAAGGACAGGGAGGCCTGGCGTGCTGCAGTCCATGAAGCAGCAAAGGCTCCAACATGACTCAGTGACTGAACAGCAGCGCATTAAACAGAGGGGGACACGCCACATGCATGAATATATTCACTCCAGCAGTATCTATTATAGAAAAGTAGAAACTGAAACAACTCTAAGGGCATGATTTCATAAAGTGTGGTCTCTTAATCTAACAAAAAAGGATGAAGCCATCTAACACTGTTCATGTGAACAGCATATCGAAATACGAACACTGATAAAGGCAGAAAGATTATGAAAGAATTAAAACAAAAATGAGTTCAAATTTTGAAAAATATTGATGCAGTGTGAGTCATAGAATATACTGAAAAATTCAAAATACCGTGGCAAGCTGAGATGGTTATGGGTGGTTGTTTTCCCTATTGAAACTGAACTATTCACTATTAACACTGAAAAGAAAGAAAGGAGAAGAAAAGAAAAAATTAGTCATAGGGTAAAGGATTGAGACTATTGAAGATTTTCCTTGTCACAGTAAAATGCTAACATTTAAGATAATACAAAATCAGAAAGAAAATGTCAAGTTAAAGAGAATTGTGAGATGATGAGAGGAGGTAGCTCTAAACAGTGGAAAGGCCCAGAACTAGAGCCTGACAGGCCTGGGTACCTTTAAGCAGCAAATTACTTGATCCCTTAGTTCTCATCTGGGAAACCAGGGAAGGAAAGCCAAGAATTTGTTATAAGCACATGAGAAAATATACATGTTATGTTACATTACATATGTAAAATGCATGTTACATTTTTGGCGTCTAATGAATTCGAGGTTATATTTTTTGAAGAGTATATGTAAAAAGAAATAGGAAAAGCCAGTGTGTTAATAGGGGTAGGATGAAAAGGAAGCCAAGTACACTAGAAGATACTATAATCACATAAAAGTAAGGACTGTAAACATATTCGTGTAACTAGGAATCAAAATCTTCACTTTAAAAGATACAAACAGAAAAGAAAGGAAATTCCTGTAACATTAAATTTAAATAGGAACTATCATTATGAACTTTTGATTTTTTTTGTTTTTTAAGTATATCTCCCAGCTCTTTCCACTGAAACGTCAGAGAGGCAGGAACAATCCAGTAGCAATGAGTTACTGCCCAGCTTCATGTTCCCAAGCACCAGTCCCAACCAAGAGGACCAGCTTGAAGGGACTCCCACTGACCACTCTGGGACAATCTGAACAATTCAGAGGATTTAGAAATAGATTCTAATACACTGAGTTCAATGTAAATAAATCCATGAGTTTACACTGATACAAAAATCAACAGAGAAAGAAAAGGGAGTGGAGGGAAGAAAGCTTTTCTTTACCAAAGAATTCCAGACAATAAATGAGAAAGAGTCAGAGAAAATCACTGCTTTTTCAAACACCAATGTAATACCTCATCCAGAAAAGGATCACCATGGATGTAATGCCTGGTCCACAAAAGGGTTGCCATGGATGTAATACCTGATCCAGAAAAGTGTCACTATGGATACAATGCCTAATCCAGAAAAGGATCACTATGGATGTAATAACTGACCCAGAAAAGGATCACCATGGATGCTGAAACTACTGGCTGAAAGGCTGCTGTGAAACAGGATATTCCCATGTTCTGAAAGTGCCTATTTCCTAATTACAAAACAAAAGTGGTTCTGTAGAACGGAAATATCTGGTGGACACCATCTGAACCAAATGATCAAACTGAGTATCATCAATGCTGGGACAGGATAGTAGGATCTCTCCTATCCTGCACCCCAAAACTGATCTTGAATCCAAGTCACGAGGAAACAACCAGACAAGCCCAGAATGAGAGGCTTTCAACAAAATAACTGGGCCTGGGTTCGAAGTCAATGTCATGATAGAATAATAAAACAAAGATGTGTTCTTTCTCCTGTTGACTGCAAGATACAGTTCTATAAACAAAACCCATATATATATGTGTATAAATGCTAATTTTGTTGCAGAAGTTTAGAGATGATAATGGTAGCATTTAAGTTTGAGTCTGTTTTGGACAAATAAGCACTATGCTTTTCAAATGATTGGAAAATCACTTTTATTTGCTTTTTTTTTTTTACGGTGGTTTGGTTTTTTTTTGAAGTAAAAAAAATCACTAAACTTGATCAGTGGTTAAATAAAAAAGGCAAGGGTCTGTTCTAGATTAGAAGATATATAGCAACTAAATGTAATACAGGAAACCTGATTAGATGGTGGATTTGAAAAACAAAAGGCAATAAAGCATTAGAGGTGGGGGAAGAGGTGAGCGGAGAGATCTGGCATATTTAAAATAGACTGGATATTAGATATTTCACATGATTGCTAATCTACTGGATATTAGATATGTCACATGATTGTTAATCTTCCTAAGTATGATAATGGTTAAGAAGAATGCTCTTATTAAAGATAAATACTGAAGTATCTTGATGTCTGCAATTTATAGTTAACTGGTCTAGCCAAAAGAGGAAATTATGTGTGTGATATGTAAAAAGTATATGTGTGTTAAAACAAATTTTAAAAAGGCACACAGGTTTTAAAAGTGTTAACAATCAATTCAGATGAAGGGTATCTATTAAACATCCACTGAATTCTTTACATTTTCTATAGCTTAAAAAAAATTTTAATTATCAAGTAAGAAAAAAAAAATTGATCTTGAACATTGAGTTAGCTAATTCATACTGCATGTGAGCTTGGTCACACTTCTGCACCTTGTAAGCACAGAGGATGTGGAAGCAATCCAATCTGCACCGACCCCCCAAAGTGTTTGCTAGAATAAAGCGATGTTCTGTGCAGCTGTTTAGCCTGAATGGACTAGTGTGAAATACACCTCCACCTCTCCCCCTGCACCTCCACAGACAGGCCTTACGAGGGAAGAAATGCCTGCTCCTAAATCCTCCAAAGCCAAGAATCCCACCTTGGGAGGGATTACACAAGTTGTAGAAAACACAAGTAGCCACCCCTGAAACAGAGAAGGTATAACCTAGCAATCTGCCAGCATATGACAGGAAGTATAATTGCCAATTTCCTCCCCACTTGCTTCCCATCTGCAAGACTTTCACTTTAGAGGGAGTCACCTGCATGCGGGATGGAATAACAGCGGGGTAAGCAAGTACAGAGAAGCACTGGTAAACCTGAGAGCACTCACAGTTCATCAGGGCGTTTTCTTCGGTTTTATCTCAAACCCATGCACACAGGAAAAACACACACGGGACCAAGAGAGAAAGTTCAGAACAAAAGAACACCCCAGAAAGGCAGGTCCGTAATCTATCAGAGGGGAGCGCTGGCAAGTCGCGAGGGCAGACAGCTGGGTTTACTACAGTTTACACGGAAAAGGCTAGTTCTGACAGATTATATTTGGTTATTAGGGAATATTGGGGTTCATATGACCAATATTTTGGAGCCCCAAATTCTGCACTTACGGTAAAAATCAACTGCATTCTTACAGAACTTATGAATAACTCACTTTCTAAAATGTAAACAGAAAATATTGGTAAAAGAAAAAAAAACACCAAAGGCATTTTGCAAAGTGTCCTATTTAGTTTTAGGTGGTTCCATGTTTCTCTTCCCACTTGGGCAGAATGCCTTTCTTGGAGATTTCGAATCATTATTCTGTCTGTCAGATTTACAGTATTTAATCACATGGGACATTTAAAAGTTCCTTGAGCAGAAAGATTATAGAAAAGTTATGTTCACAGAACTACGTTTTACATTTATAATTTTTTTTTCTTTTACATTTATAATTTTTACAGTTGCCTTAAAACTTAAAATATACTACACACACTCAAGCACATCTTCGCACCACTCAACTCCAATAGCTGTGAAATTATAAACAGTTGTTTAAACTATGTCAAGAAATTCAGATATAGAATCCCCAACTGGGATAAGAATACTGAAGGAAATATTAAGGGCATCATTTCTAAAATAATGCATTAATTGTAAAAGGGAGAAAAAATGTAGCACATTGGCTTCCTAATCATTAAAGAAACAGAAAGCTGTTTCAAACAAAACAAAAACTAAATGAGATAATCAAAAACAAACATACCCATCTTTAGTCTGATCCACCACACCACTTAAAAGTTCCACAGTCTTTGGATTAGGCTGGCTTTCTCCAAAAATGTTCAAATATCGGGTGACGAAGTCATTGGGAGACATGAAAAATTCACCATTTTTTTCAATGCTTGCATACTGTTTAAAAAAAGAAAATATATTTTATTCTCAAATGTATATAATCAGATCAATATGTGAAAAAAGCTGAAAATATTCAATAGATAAAATATCTGATATGACTATATACTATTACAAGGACAATTATTTCCCATCACTCCAAGTAAAAAGCAAAAAGACGTTAGTTTGCCAAGTTTTATATTTATACCAGAGGTTGTCAACTGAGAGAAGCCTGCCTGACTGTCCAGCTTACAGACATCAGAGTCCCCAGTAGGCCAGCTCGGTACGTTATATAACACCTGCCTTTCTCATCAGATGGACTTCTCCAGCTCTGAGCCACCTGTTTCCATTTTTCCCCACAGGGGACATCCAGCAGTGCCTGAGGACAATTCTGATTGGGGTAAGGGCAGAAATAGAAACTGGTATCTACTTGGGACAGGCCAGGGATGCCTCTAAATATCCCCAATACACAGGATGCCCACCCCCTACCCCCTACCCAATTACAGAGTCATCCAGACCAAATGTCAATTGTGCTGAGGGTGAGAAACCCAAGTTGACAGAAATTTGGAAAGACAAATTATATCTTGTTCTTTAGCAAAGACATACAGTTTTCTTTAAAAAAAAAAAAAATTATGAAATCATGAATGAAAACAACTCATTCTTTTGCCCCTTTTCCTGTTTCGAAAGCATCAATGATGGGGAAATAAAGAAAAAAGAATGACAAAGAGGAGAAACTGGAAAGCAAACTGTTAACAGCAAGGCTTCTGTAAGACTTCATGGAAGCTGGTAAGAAATGCTGCTATGTCTGTATAGAAAGTGTGGGGCGCTGTGTTAGGTTTTTACATGCAATATCGTATTAGTATTATGCAATAAAGTAGGTGTTCCCATGCACATTTTAGAGATGCAGTGGCTAAATCCTGAATGGTAAACTAATTCACCTACATAGGCAGGGGTAGAAACAATATTGAAATCCAAGTACATCTGACTTCAAGGTCTTCATTCTGCTTTTACTCCAGAACTCCTAAAAATTACATCTTTATTTTTTTACTTGAGCCAAAGAAAAAATTTGGCCCCTGTTTTAAAAAAGACCATAACCATTAAGAAGGCCAAGTGCCAAAGAATTGATGCTTTTGAACTGTGGTGTTGGAGAACACTCTTGAGAGTCCCTAGGACTGCAAGGAGATCCAACCAGTCCATCCTAAAGGAGATCAGTCCTGAATATTCATTGGAAGGACTGATGCTGAAACTCCAATACTTTGGCCACCTGATGCAAAGAACTGACTCATTAGAAAAGACCCCGATGCTGGGAAAGATTTGAGGGCCGGCGGAGAAGGGGACGACAGAGGATGAGATGGTTGGATGGCATCACTGACTCAATGGACATGGGTTTGAGCAAGTTCCAGGAGATGGTGAAGGACAGGGAAGCCAGGCGTGCTGCAGTCCATGGGGTCACAAAGAGTCGGACATGACTGAGCGACTGAAGAACAAAATTACAAAAAAAACAATTTGTGTCCTTTATATCTTTACTATGTATGTTTGGATCATCCTTCTGTGTTAGGTCGTTACAGAGAATAAAGGAAGAGCTATAAGTTCCTTTCCACTGAAAATGGGGACAAAGGGTATCATGAAAGAGAAAAAACGTGTATTTATTTCAGTTCCATCTCCTCAAAATGCTTAACGCAGTAAGTCCTAAAGAGATATTGATTGGTGAATAAACAATGAGAGAGTTTCAGGGGAAAAAAAAGAAAGAAACGCTGCTATGGTTAGGGTCCTCTCCATTCCAGAACAAAACCAGTGAGTAAGAAAAAGGTGGTGTGCGATGCTTTTTCACAGCCTTCCCCCAGTTCACAAACACGGAACCTGCACATTACCGTTCTGTAGAGGTGGGGGGCTGTGAGAAACGCTGAGGAACAACTTGGGGGGTCACACATATACTCACAGAGCAGGAGAGGGCCTCTTGATCTTTGGGATCAACAGTGATCTGTGGTGGGGAGATGAGGACCTCAAGCTACAAGAAGAACAGGGCTGGCTGGGTGACAGAAACCCCCGTGATGGGAAAGCACAGTGAACGGGGTGCAGTGACAGTCAAACCCCATTAAAACTGCTTTTGCAAGTCACCTGTGGGCTTCCTGGAGATGCAGACAGAACCCTGTGAACAGTACAGAGAACAGACTTGTGGACAAGAAGGGGACGGACAGGGTGGAATGAACCGAGAGTAGAATCGCGATGTATACATTACCACATGCAAACTTAGCTGGCCAGTGGGGACGTGCTGTGTGACGCAGGAGCTCAAATCCGGTGCTCTGTGACGACCGGAAGTGAGGACAGGGAGGGGGTGGGGTGGGAGGGGGTCCAAGAGGGAAGGACATACGTATACCTGTGGCTGATTCATGCTGATGTATGGTAGAAACCAATAAAATACTGAGAAGTGCTTATCTTCCAATTAAAAATAAATACATTTAAAAAAAAAGAATCTGCCTGCCAATGCAGGGGACGTGGGTTCGATCCCTGCTCCAGGAAGAGCCCACACGATGCGGGCAACTAAGCCTACGCGCCACAACTACGGAGCCAGCGCTGCGGAGCCCCCAAGGCCCAACCTCTGGGCCCAGAAGCGGCCGTCACTGAAGCCCACGCAGCTGCAGCCTGCGCTCCGACAACAGAGGCCATCAAATGGGGAGCCCGTGCGCCGCAACCAGAGAGTAGCTTCTGCTCGCTGCCATGAAGACCCTGCACATCCAAACATCAATAAGTAAATCTTAAAAAAAAAAAAAAAAAAGGCACTTGTTCTTTCTACATTTCAGTCATTCCAAAGCAGGATCGGCTCTTGAGCAGATACTCAGCTACAGGCTTTGGAGTCTCCCAGGTCTGGGAAGCAAGCAGCTCTGCTTCTGCCTCTAAAGGACCTCAGGTAAGTAAGTAAAGCTTTCTGGGCCTCTGGCTCCTCACCTGTAAAATGGGGATGAGAACACTACCTGCTCTTAGGATGATGCTAGAAATAAATGAACAGTCATGAAATATGCTAGGCACAATGCCATACACACAATAGGCATCTTATAAATGTGCTAGATTATTGGTTTTTATTTAACAATCTTTTGCACAGTACAAAAGAAAAGCTCAAAGATGGCCCAATAATCATACTATTCTTTAGTTAGTATTGAATTTGGCTTTTTGCAAACGTGGAAGAATTATAATTTATTTTCCTAACTGAGGCAAAACAGGACTGAAATATAAAGGAAATGTCACTGTTAATTACAGCAATCCTATGATTTAGAATTATACCTATGTTTGCTTATAGTAGTGAATAATTCATTTATTTAAAAACACAATTTAACAGTTCTCTCACCAGTAGACATTATTATTACTGGATTATCTCCAGTTTTTATTTTTTTTAAAGCTAAAGTAACCAGCTTTGCATATAACATCTGTCCAAATTTCTGGCAATTTTCAGACTAGTCTCCCAGAGGAGAAACTGTTGAGTCACAGGAGAGGATCTTTAAGGCTCTTGATACTTATTATCACACTGCTCCCCTGAAAGGACTGTGCCAATTACACCCCCAACCAACAGCATGAGAACATGCCCTCCCCCTTTGTCTGTCATACTTGCTGCAAATAGTTCTATATTTTTACATAATTGAGTGTCGATTTTTATCTGCTTTACAGTTTCTTCCATTACCTCTAAGTTTAGAAACTATTATAATTCTTCATCACAAGACTACATATTCACCCACGTTTTCTCTTAGCCTGTTTTGAATAGGTTTATCTTTTCCCTTTAAGTTTCAATACATTATTGGTACTTTGCTTTCGATGTGGTTTGAGGTAAGGATCCTCCAACTTGAGTCTCTTCCACTTTCTTTCTTGGTTGTCTTTCAGAAGGGAAGATCCCCTGGAGAAGGGCATGGCAACCCACTCCAGTACTCTTGCCTGGAGAATCCCATGGACAGAGGAGCCTGGAAGGCTACAGTCCACAGGGCCATGAAGAGCCAGACATGCTGAGCAACTGAACAACTCTTGGTTGTCCTAGGAGCCTACACATCAAATCATTCTCCCTTCCCTCACCTTTAAAATACCATGTCTACCACAGGCTAAATTACCATATGGTTGGGACTTCCCTGGGGGTCCGGTGGTTAAGAATCCACCTTGCAATGCAAGAGATGCAGGTTCGATCCCTGGTAGGGGAACTAAGGTCCCACATGTCACAACTAGAGAGCCCGTGAACCACAGCAAACGACATCCCGCATGATGCAACCAAGATTCGGTGCTAGGCAACTAAGCCCCCACGGATGCAAATACACAAATACTTTCAAAAATTATCAGTATGGTCACAAGGAAAAGGCTTGGCAAGGAAATCTATCTCCTATACAGTTCTGATCGGGGGCAATGCCTTCCTAAGGTAAAGATGTCCTCAGACTCAACTCCATAGGAGGAATGCCAAGAAGAGTGGACAGCTCCTGTCATCACCGCAACAGGCAATGTTTCAGGACTAACCTTGGCAACTGACCCATCTACTCTTGCAAGATTACAAGCACCTTAATTGCTATAACTGGAGGGAAAGCTCTGCCAGGACAGAATTTTTTTCCCCCTTTCTCACTGTTGTGTATCCTTGAGCTCTTGCCTCTTACCTGGCAGATAGGCAACATGTTCAATAAACATCTGACAAATGAATGTGGAGTAAAAAAAAAAAACAACACTACATTACTGGAATTCCCTGGTGGCACAGAATCCGCCTGCCGATGCAGGGTTTGACTCCTGATCTGGAAGATCCCACATGCCCTGGAACATCTAAGCCATGTGCCAAAACTACTGAAGCAGCGCTTCAGAGCCCTAGAGCCGCAGCTCATGAGGCTCTGTGCTGCTACTGAAGTCCATGCACCACAACAGGGAAGCCTGAACAGTGAGAAGCCCGAGGACCGTGATGAAGAGGAGTCCCTGCTCGCCTCAACTGGAGAAAGCTCTGGCAAGGCAAGAGAGACCCAGTGCAGCCAAAAGTAAATAAATGAATGCATAAACCAAATAAAAAAGCATTTCATTATTTTTTTCTTACAAGTCTTCTAATCACTCTCTTAGTTTTCCCCTAATGATCTTTAGAATCATTATCAAGCTCCCAACCACTAAAAAAAAAAAGTTTCCACTGAAAAGGCAAAATAAAACTACAGTGCAATAATACCACTACTCATACACAAGATCAAGATAATTAAAAAGAAAAAAACCAATGTCGGCAAAATATGGAGCAAATGCAACTGGCAAACTGCTTCAGAAAACTGCTTGGTAATGTCTGCTGTTACTGAACATACATGTAAGGACAGACCCAGCAATTTTACACCAGTGGGACTTTTCCCTTTCCATAATTTATTATTTCTCATTGGAACTTTTATTTTTTAACTTACAGATGACCCTTTAACACTTCTAGTAAGGTCAGTTTAGTATTGATCAACTCAGTTTCTGCCTGTCTGACCTCTTTGCTTGTCCTTCAATTCTGAATGACAATCTTGCTAGACAGAGTATCCTGGGTGGTAGGCTTCTCCCCTTTAGCATTTTGAAAGTTATCGCGCCATTCTCTCCTGGCCTGCAAAGTTTCTCCAGAAAAATCAACTGATAAACTTTATGGGGGTTCCCTTGTATGTGACTTCGTTTTTTTTCTTGCTGCATTTAAAATTATTTTTTTCTATTTTAATTATGATGTATCTTGGCGTAGGTCTCTTTGGGTTCATCTTGTTTGGAACCCTCTGTGCCTCCTTTAGCTGGATATCTGTTTCCTCCTCCTCCAGGTTTGGGAAGTTTCCAGCCATAATTTCATCAAATACATTTTCTACTCTTTTCACTTTCTGTGCTGTGCTTAGTCGCTCAGTCGTGTCTGACTCTTTCTGACCCGAAGGACCGCAGCCCACCAGGCTCCTCTGTTCATGGGATTCTCCAGGCAAGAATACTAGAGTGGGTTGCCATCCCTCCTCCAGGGGATCCTCCTGACCCAGGGACTGAACCCACGTCTCTTACGTACCTTGCATTGGCAGGTGGGTTCTTTACCACTAACGCTACCTTTCTTTTCTGGGACCACTATAATGCAGATGTTAGTGCCTGTGATGTTGTCCCATAAATCCCTTAAACTATCCTCAATTTTTAGAATTTTTGGGGGGGGTAGCTCTTACTGGGCAATTTGCATTACTCTTATCTTCCTGATCACTTATGTATTCTATATCACCTAATCTCTTGTTAATATCCTCCAGTGTATTTTTTTCATCTCAGTTATTGTATTCTTCAGTGCTGTCAGCACTTTTGTAATATTATCTAGCTCTTTACAAAAATTCTCCTTCTGTTCATCTATTCTTTCCCCAGTTCAATTAGGATTCTTATTACTAATGCTTTGAACTCTTTTATCAAGTAAATTACTTATCTGTGTTTCATTAGGGTTTTTTCCCAGGGTTTTTTTTTTTTCCTTGTTCTTTCATTTGAAACATACTCCTGTCTTCTCATTTTAACACCCTCTGTCTTTATGAAACTAGGTGAAAATTTACCTCTCCTGCCCTTGAAGGTGTGTTCGTGGAGCATTCCCGCTCTGGTAGGAGAAGCAGGTCTAAAGCGAGCATGAGCTGTGTCTTCCCCAGGGTGTGCTGGCAGCTGCTGCTGGGAGGAGGTGGGGCTGGAGCCAGCCAGGTGCAAGCGGGGGCTTCTCCTCTGCTCAGGGGCCATCGCTGCCCTCCTTGGGGTGGGAGCTGGGTTTCTCTTGGGTATGACAGCACTCCCGGCCTTGGTCTGGGGCATGGCCAGGGCCTGAGGGTCTAGGGCTGCATTTCTGGGAGGGTTTCACCTTTTCCCCTGTGCACCTTATTAGAGGCTAGGTGGGATTGGGGCCAGAGCAGGCTGTGCCACAGCCCTAAGCTGACCCCACCCCACAGCAGCATTATTCTGGATAGCAAAAAAAAAATGGAAAATAACTCAAATGTCCACAGCAGAATGTTTCAACAAATTGTGGCATAGTCACAGAGTGGAATAAACTAACGCCGACTATACATGACAATTGTACCAATAAAGCAACAGTGAAAGAAGCTAGACACAATACATATTGTTAAGGAAAAAAAAAAGTAAAACATATTGTATTATTCATTTTATATAAAGTAGAAAACCAGGCAAAGCTAACACATGGTGACAGAAGTCAGATGACTAGTTCCCCTGGGAGGGGTGGGTATTGACTAGAAAGGGCATCGGAGGGCTTCCAGGATGCTGGTTACGTGGATGGATTCGCCTTATGAACATGCATGGGGTTGTACATTTCTGATTGATGCACTTGATGTATTCCTCAATGTAGTTTACAAATAAAAAATCTCAGGTATTTCATCTGACTTGTTTTTTCAGAGGTGATAAAACATCTCTTCAATACAAGGACACGTTAATATGGACACAAGAAATACAGTTTTTCTCAGTTTTAAAAAACAGCACATCACCGAGTCTTGGGTAGCCTACTTTGATTAAAGATGTCAAAGGTTCTTCCCTAGACTGACAGACAGAGGGTCCCTGTCAGGGGAGTGGACTATACCTCGCAGCTACCACACCTTTAAAATGTTATTTAATCCTTCTTCAGTAATAGATTTGATAAATGACCTGAAGCTTCTCTCCTTTACTATTTTTGGAAGTTTAATGTGATTAAACATATATACTTATGAAATGGGAAGGCTTTTAGGATTCCTTGCATAACTTAGTAAAATACTAACTGGTTAATTTTATGCATCAACTTGACTGGCCAACAGGTGCCCAGATAAAACACTGTTTCTGGGTGTGTCTGTGAGGGTGTTTCTGGATGAGACTGCATTTAAATCTATGGACTCAGTAAACTGGATTTCCCTCCCCAATATGGGTGGGCTTCACCCAATCCATTGAGAATGGAATAAGAGATGGAGGGAAGAATTCATCCCTTTTTCCCCTGCCCCATTGCATAAGCTGTGTCCTTTCTTCCTTCTCTGACCCTCAGATGGAGATTTACATCATCAGCTACCCTGTTCTCAGGACTTTGGACTTAGACTGAATTACGACACAGCTTTTCCTGGGTCTCCAGCCTGCAGACAGTACCATCCTAGGACTTCTCAGCCTCCAAAATGGATGGTGTGAGTCAATTCCTCATAATAAACCTCACTAGATAAGTACCTAGAGATGGAGCTCTCTCATACTGGTTCCGTTTCTCTCAAGAACCCTGACTAATAAACCAAATGTCACCAGGAAGACATACCTCCACACCCAATGAATACGGTGGCAAAGGAAAGCAATGTCACTACACTGTACCCTCAGAAGCCAGGGGGCCTAACTGGCCTGCCCACTACTGGTGGAACAAAATAGTCTATCAACTGTGAACATGCCAGAACCATAATCAGCAGTCACTCATTTTTTCCACAAACCATTCACGTTTAGAGGCTGAAGGGCAAATTCTCCTTGAGTGTGCTCCAGCCACTGAGAAATGCTTTGCACAACTGATCACTTGTCTGACCATTCTTCCCCTGCTTCCCTGCCACACGGGTAGAATAAAGGATTATACCTGAGAATCTGAAAATGGATCAAATACTTTGTTATTAAGGAACTACTATTAATTTCATTAAGTGCACAGTGATATACATTATGGCCATATATAATATTTACTAACATATATTATGGCCATTTCTGAATAGGGAATCTTAAAGTTATTAGGAGCTATGATCAGTGCAAAGAAACAGAGGAAAACAACAGAAAGGGAAAGACTAGAGATCTCTTCAAGAAAATTAGAGATACCAAGGGAACATTTCATGGAAAGATGGGCTCTATAAAGGACAGAAATGGTATGGACCTGACAATAGCAGAAGATATTAAGAAGAGGTGGCAAGAATACACAGAAGAACTGTACAAAAAAGATCTTCATTACCCAGATAATCACGATGGTGTGATCACTCACCTAGAGCCAGACATCCTGGAATGTGAAGTCAAGTGGGCCTTAGGAAGCAACACTACCAACAAAGCTAGTGGAGGTGATGGAATTCCAGTTGAGCTATTTCAAATCCTGAAAGATGATGCTGTGAAAGTGCTGCACTCAATATGCCAGCAAATTTGGAAAACTCAGCAGTGGCCACAGGACTGGAAAAGGTCAGTTTTCATTCCAATCCCAAAGAAAGGCAATGCCAAAGAATGCTCAAACTACCGCACAATTGCACTCATCTCACACGCTAGTAAAGTAATGCTCAAAATTCTCCAAGCCAGGCTTCAGCAATACGTGAACCGTGAACTTCCAGATGTTCAAGCTGGTTTTAGAAAAGGCAGAGGAACCAGAGATCAAATTGCCAACATCCGCTGGATCATCGAAAAAGCAAGAGAGTTCCAGAAAAACATCTATTTCTGCTTTATTGACTATGCCAAAGCCTTTGACTGTGTGGATCACAATAAACTGTGGAAAATTCTGAAAGAGATGGGAATACCAGACCACCTGACCTGCCTCTTGAGAAACCTGTATGCAGGTCAGGAAGCAACAGTTAGAACTGGACATGGAACAACAGACTGGTTCCAAATAGGAAAAGGAGTACGTCAAGGCTGTATATTGTCACCCTGCTTATTTAACTTATATGCAGAGTACATCATGAGAAACGCTGGGCTGGAAGAAGCACAAGCTGGAATCAAGATTGCCGGGAGAAATATCAATAACCTCAGATATGCAGATGACACCACCCTTATGGCAGAAAGTGAAGAAGAACTAAAGAGCCTCTTGATGAAAGTGAAAGAGGAGAGTGAAAAAGTTGGCTTAAAGCTCAACATTCAGAAAACTAAGATCATGGCATCTGGTCCCATCACTTCATGGGAAATAGATGGGGAAACAGTGGAAACAGTGTCAGACTTTATTTTTTTGGGCTCCAAAATCACTGCAGATGGTGACTGCAGCCATGAAATTAAAAGACGCTTACTCCTTGGAAGGAAAGTTATGACCAACCTAGACAGCATATTAAAAAGCAGAGACATTACTTTGCCAACAAAGGTCCGTCTAGTCAAGGCTATGGTTTTTCCAGTGGTCATGTATGGATGTGAGAGTTGGACTATAAAGAAAGCTGAGCGCAGAAGAATTGATGCTTTTGAACTGTGGTGTTGGAGAAGACTCTTGAGAGTCCCTTGGACTGCAAAGAGATCCAACAAGTCCATCCTAAAGGAGATAAGTCCTGGGTGTTCACTGGAAGGACTGATGCTGAAGCTGAAACTCCAATACTTTGGCCACCTCATGCGAAGAGTTGACTTACTGGAAAAGACCCTGATGCTGGGAAGGATTGGGGGCAGGAAGAGAAGGGGACGATAGAAGATGAGATGGCTGGATGGCATCACTGACTCGATGGACATGGGTTTGAGTAAACTCTGGGAGTTGGTGATTGACAGGGAGGCCTGGCGTGCTGTGATTCATGGGGTCACAAAGAGTCGGACACGACTGAGTAACTGAACCGAACTGATATGCTATTTAGGGTGAATCACGGAGATAGTTAACTTACACTGAAATACATCAGTAAATATTATATGTGAAACTAACGTGACAAAAACTTATTTAAATTAGGTGGTGGTTATGTGGGTATTTACTACTCTATATTATGTATATTTGTAAATTTTAATGAAAAGGTTTAAATGTCACTAGGTATCATGAATATTCAATAAATATGTTGCTGATGATAAAAACCACAAATTTAAAACAAGATACAATTTTTAACGAGTTGTCAGAAAGGCTTTTTATTGTTGCTGCTCAGTTTTTTTTAATTGTCTGAGTTGATGTCACAATGAGGAAAAATGTAAACTCCCATACTCCCACCAAAAATGTGTATTGATGCAACCTTCTTGAGAGGCAGTCTGCCAAGAATCAAAAGCCTTAAAATGTTGTAAATCCATTCTTCAACAATTCCACTTCTATAAATTTATCTAAGAAAATGCTAGCTATATGCAAAAATGTAGTTTCAGGGCTATTCATTACAGTGTTGTTATGATAGCAAAGCAGAGAAGATGACTAAACATCCAATAATAGAGAGTGGCTAGATAAATTATGGTAAAACAGCCATAGATAAGAATATCATAGCAATAGAAAAAGCAGAAATGCTTTCAGTTATAGAAAAAGGTATTCATAATGTATTAGGTGAGGGAAAAAATGAATACCAAATAGTATTTTTCCTCCTGTTAAAGAAAAAAATTATACACAGAGGCAGAGAAATAGGAAAACAGATATATGCATATGTAAACAGACTTAAATAGATATATGTATATATACAGATAGATTTAAATATATAGGGATCACACGTTTCAGTTCCTTATACACATCTTTTTTTTAATTTTCAAAAAATATGAACTGTTCTTTCATAAGGAAAAAAGTTTTTGAAGCAGAAATTATTTTTCCAATTTTCCCTACAAAATCTTCTAAAAATATATATTATGCTTTTGTTGATGAATGGTAAAATTCCAAGTGCAATTCACTACATATTACTATTCCAATTTGTAATATGACCTGCTTCCCTTGTCTGGTCTTCCCATCCTCCACATCTTACACTATAGTAAGGCATTAAGGTGCGTCCAGCTCTACACTTCTAAACAGTAACTATCACCTCCTTCACTCTCATTTGAGCTAATGGTTGTCTCCTCAATTTCTGCATCTTAATACTGGTACTTCCCTGCCCCCAGGCTATATATCCAGTGGTCATATTTACCCCCTGTTCACGATCAATCAACCCATCCTGCATATTCATCAGAAGGACTGATGCTGAAGCTCCAATACTTTGGCCACCTGATGTGAAGAGCCAACTTCATTAGAAAAGACGCTGATGCTGGGAAATGTTGAAGGCAGAAAGAGAAGGGGACAACAGAGAATGAGGTGGTTGGATGACATCACTGACTCAATGGACATGAGTTTGAGCAAGCTCCAGAAGATGGTGAAGGACAGGGAAGCCTGGCCTGCTGCAGTCCATGGCGTCACAGAGTCAGACAGGACTGAGCGCCTGACCACCACCACCACAATCATCCATGACACAAGATCAGGCATTTTCAATCCAACAGTCCTTCAAAATGTGTTAACTTGCCCATTCTTCATTCCTCCTGCTACCACAACCCTAATCAAGTTATCAGGGTGGCACACCAGGATTACACCCACAGCTGCCTAACCCATGGCCTTGCTGCACCAATCCAATCTCGGACCCATCCTCCAAGTCATTGGATAACTCAGAAAACCTTCAATGGCTTCCTATTGTTGAGCAAAAATGCCAAACTCCCAATTATCTAATTTTGTCACCCACACCCTGTAAAACTTGGCAGACTCCCTCGTGCAGAGCTGAATTAAGTAAACATTTGAAGAAAGAGCAAAAATCCTTCAATCTGGAGGAGGTTTGCTCCCAAACCCACCTCCAGGCCTTCCCTCCAACGTGGTCCTGGTTCCCAGAAGCGTCCGCTGCCCCCCCGGGTGCCTCCCCCATCCCCCAGCTCCCACGCATCCGCGGGGCTCCTCAAGCTCCCACTCCAAGGAGCCTTCTCTCAGCTCTCCCCGCCACAGGGCCTGCTCCCTCCTCCCATTTCCGGAGGCGTCTGCTTTAACCACACAAGTGACCCCTGACTGTGCTGACTTTTTTTTTTTTTTTTTACTTTCTGCGTGCTTATAAATTTGGTCTCCTGTATAAAATCTGAACATCTCTAAATAGGACATGGATGCTGCTTATACCTTTTTACACATCTCACTCACTGCAAAATTCCATGGCATTTCATTTAAACTGTAAGCACTCAAATACACACCTGTTTATTAACATGAAGCAGCACGGGGAGTGTCAGGCAGAGAAAAAAATTTAGGTTCCCAACACTTAGGTAGGAAACAAAGCTGACTACACCTAGACTTCAACTTCTACATCCAGACAAAACATTAACCGCCACATGTTACTAAAACAGCCTGCATAAAAAAATTCAAACGCCTTAGGCTGGAGATGTTTTATGCCAAGTTCCACTCTGCCTGCCATTCTAGTACCATTTCCCAAGCTTCTATGTGTCAGGCCACCTCCATGCCTGGAGTTCTTTGCTTTTGCTTACACCATTATTTCCTTCTTCTTTCTTTGCTCCACAATCCTCCACCTTCTCCATTTGACAAACAGAAGCTCAAATATCACCACTGCCCAGCAACTGTAATGACCCTCTCTAGGAAGATGTAATTAGCCCCATGTTATCTGCTTGCTAATTAATACTATACAATGCATATCAACCATATTATGTACTATATAATGTATATCAACCATATTGTGGATTTTTTTTTTAAACACTTAAACACACACAGTGAGATAGTTAAGGGCAGGAGCCATGATTAATTCATCTTTATAAC